ATTTGGGCTGTTATTTACATGCCATAATAACCTGAACATATTTTGACTTGTTCCAGCCACTCTGGACTACACATTTGGCCGGATTTGGATGGTGAACCCCTGGGTTCCCTTTCTCTGATAGAAAGCTGTAAACCCATTCTCTGCAAAAAATCAGCAGATACTTCCAGATATTTGGCTACTTATAGCCTCCTTGCAGGAAGTAAAAATGTTAGTAGGAAGTACTTAGTACGTGAAAGGTCATCTCCTAGCCTAAAGTTTGGTTTTCCAATATAAAATAATGAATTCCAACTTTGACCTTAAAATCTGGAGTGACATGAGCAAATGTGTGGATTTAACGAGTTTCCCTAGGTGCAGCCATAATCCTCCTGCACCGGGGCTAGGCACAGCTGTGGGCCATCCAAAGGATCTTTCTTGCCACAAGAGTGTTGTCCTGATTTCTGTCACATGTGCAGAGATGGCAACCAAGTCTTGGTAGGGTTTAATCTGAGCTCCCTCAGGAGCTGAATCTCCTATGTTACTCTGTGCAGCTCCACCACTTGGCTTTGGAGGCAAAAGCCTGCTAGGCAGATTGGAAGTTACAGCTAAGGGAAGCAGGAAAGGCAGTAGCTGTGAGATGATGTTGTCAGGAAAACAGGTTTTTAGTGCACAAGGGCTCAGGGACATGGCAAACTGCCTGAAAGCAAAAGCTCGCCCTTGCTCAATGTGCCTGTGCTGGTGCAGAGGGCCAGGTCCCCTCCTTGCTCAGAGTAGGGATAACACTGAAGCTGTTTGCAGCCTTACTGGTTTGGATTGAACCTGCAACACAGAGCCCAGAAGGACAGTGAGATGTTTTTCCAGAGGTGGAAACCCTGATTTTTTCAGTGCATACTTTGCTGCTCCCTGATGTGAGGGACATTATGGAATGCAAAAATAGCTAGATGTAAAAAAATAGATTGAATCTATTTACTCAAATATTTACTCAGAATATAAGCCAGTAACTTTCACACCTTTCAAATACACTGCCTTGTATTCTGATTATTTAGGTCTCCTGATGTGAGGAATCCTGGAAAAAATCTTACTTAAATACCTCGGTGTTTTACACTTGCATAGGATGAACTGACTTCTTTGCCCTAGTAGAAAACTTGAGGGGAAAAAAAACCCCAAACCCCAACCCAAAGATCTGTGCATCTTTAGAGGTTCAAACCAAGGGAATATACATTCCTGTGGCTCCACAGAAGACACAATACTTCAGTAAGACCCCAATGCTGTACATCCTACTCCCTTCGCTCACACTGACAACGTTGAGCAGCCTGTGAAGCTCCTGGCATGGTTTCCCAGAGAAGGGTGCCTCCGAGCATGGCCTCTTTGCACCGAGCAAGGGATGCTGAACCCACTGAAGTCAACAGGAGGTTAACTCAGATCATAGCTATTCCCCTGACCGTGTATTACAGACTGTTGGATTTTGTTTCAGTGATGAGCTTCAAGTAAAGCCAAAAGTGAATAGAGGCATGTTGACCTCATAGTCGTGAATACAGATTGAGCGTCCAAGACAATTAAAAGCAGAAAATACGTGCCATCTCCAAACCCCTGCTGAATCAGTGCTAGAAGTTACCGCGGCCCCATCCGACTGAAAAGATGTTAACACCCGCTGTAGAGGAGGTTGGAAGGCAGCCATCCTCAATGGATTGCTTATAAGCAGTGAGTAGAGTCAAACCAACTTCAGTCGGGAGATTTACACAAGCCTCGTAATCTAATAGTAGAGTTTACTTTATGAGAGTGCCACACCAAAGATAGTAAAATGCAATTTTAGCTAACAAATCTACATGCTTCCACAGAAAAGCTACAGCCATCATGGAACATGTCAGCACTACAGAGCGCCTGGCGCAGATTTATAGTTTTCAGTTTATTGCTGAAGAGTTATTGTTAATTCCATTGTTATAGAGTTACTGCAATTAAAATTTCCAGTCACACTTATCATTTTTAAACATAGCTAATAAAACCCAATAAATTCTGAGACATTATATGTTTTACTGTGTTGTTAAACATCTGAAACATTTTCATGCTGGATTTTTGACCTAAGTTAGGATAGATTTTGGAAGTAAATTGGCTGTTGTAAGCTGCTTTTCCTCTAAGTTGCTTGGATCTACAAAATTGCTTATAGTTTTTCTTTATTATAGTAAGAGATATAGCAAGGCAATACTTAGAAGTTTTCCCTCATGCATGGCACAGGTGATCATAAGCTAAGTACTGTATCTCCTAAGAGTCACCTTCCAACTTTTTGTGTTTCTTGTTTCATAAATTATGAAGAAGAATGGTTATTTTTGTTGCAGAGGGGTAGACTTTCATGTGAATAATGTTTTTTTCTCTTTTCTATCAAAGCTTTAAGAACACATACTTTTCATTCTCTCTATAGGCGGCTACAGCTACAAATCCTACTTCTGGTCATCTGTATTCATGCGTTCGGAAACACACTAAGATACGTGGATGGGGAAAAGAACTTAGACAGGCGGACAGAATAATTTTACCCAACGTATTTCCTAGCACTTTGTGAACTAGCCTCAGCAGCCTCACAGTGAACACATACAGGATCCCACTTCTACTGACAAGGTTATGGATCTGTTTTTTAAATGCTTCAAGATTAATCTTAGTCTCAAATACCAGTAACATACAGATGTCCTAGTGCCAAGTCAGTGTATTATGATATATGTATTGCAAATGGTATCTACTGAGATATAACATCCACACAAATAGAATTCCTCTTGTAGAAGCACAGATACTATAAAAATCCAAACATACCTATGGGGAAAACAAATAACAGAAAACTCATATTCAACAGAAACCAACTTCCCTGTAAGTAAATTGCAATTTGCATCTTGCAATAACAAGGACTGGCTCTTTGTACTACAAAAGAGAGTTTCACTATCTTTAGGATCATACGATGGGTTAAGTATACAGACAGAGGAAGTAAGGAAAAAAACGTGCAAGATGTGGAATAGAGATTACTGAATGGAAGGGTGTGTATAGGACTGAGAACCAACCTCCCTCTGAAAGCTTTGGGAGGCTTAGTGCACAAGCTTGAAACCCCTGCATAAAAAATGTGGATCAGAAACTTTTTAGCAGGCTGAATGCATTTGTTCATTCCTGATTTCTCTTCTTCCCATACACAAGAAAGAGACAAAGCTTTACACCAGGTGGGATGCACCTTGGCTGAAGTTCTGGCCATATTTTTCCCCAGCACCATCGCTTAATGCACAGCATCTTCAGGTTTCACTTATCAAGTACAGCAGCTGGGAACATTATGTCTTTATAATCAGAATGTCCATTTTCTGTATCAAAGGACATGAAATACACACGCCCACATCTCTTTGCAATTTTAAAAGCCCATCATCTACTGCAAACCTGTGCAATCTGCATCAGAGATCAGAAAGAAAGAAAGAAAGAGAGAGGGGTTTGTTTAAAAAAAACCAAACTTACCAAAAATAACTGAAGTTCTCTAAAGTTGCCCTGAAGTTGAAATAGCCCAGAACACCAGTGCAGAGCTGCCTTAAACTCTCTCTCTTTCTCACTCCCCCTCTCTCTCCAGCAATTGGAAGGAGGGCTGTGCAGAAATTCAGCAAACAATTTTCCTTCTATGTCGACCGGGGCGTTCCTCTACGGGCAGAAAGGGGATGGCTAAGCCTGGGTGAGGCTTGTTGCTATCCCTAAGCCAAAGAGCGCTGTCGCAGATTACACAGCCCGTGAAATCCAATCCCTTTCTCTACTAAGGCAACAGCTGTACGGCTTCAGCTGAGGCGGGAGCAGCGGATAGACCCTGGGCTTGTTGCTGGTCAGGCTTTCCATGCGGGGGGATGCAGAGGAACGGGGGTACACGGGCTTTCCGTAAGCTCCGTGTCTTCTCCCTGCTCACTGCCTACAGCTACAGGCACGAGCGTACACAGGGTGGAGATACGGGGCAATTTCCTTGGGATTGAAAGTATATAGGATATGGGCGCCCGTGCAAAACAAACATCTCTTTTCCTGAAATTCATTCCCAGCCTTGCTTCAGGACATAAGTGGGTAATTAACATTATATGTATTAGTAAATTCTCATGCAAGCATGCACACACACAGGATGCAGTCTATCACAACAGCATGGTTCAAATGGATTTCAAGGCTGTTCTAGTGTCCTCTTAAAGTTTATTTTTCCTTGTCATTTTTAGTCAGCTGTTTAATTCTTTCCAAAAAACCCAGAACGCTGAGCTGACAGACCTTACACCACACGAAGTGTTACTGTGGCTCACAGCGTGGGAGCGCCGGTGTGCTTACTGCTGCCTTGGCAGGGTGTCCTGATGCTAACACATGAAGAAAGTTGCTTAGCACCAGCAGAAATGGATTTATTAAAATTCTCAGCCCCTCCTCTCACCTGTTTCTATTTCTCCACCCCCTGCAAAGGAAAGAAATTCGTAGTACTGCTGATTCCTCCCTCTCTGAGGAATTCCACCGATCCTCTGATTCCTCCTCCCTGAAGCTTTAAAAAATCAGAGCAACAGATTTCAGTTGGGGCTTCCTTGTTTCACAGAAGTATTCGGCTGCTCGTTTGCATCCTGTCAGATAGGTGTGAGGTGAGAGAGGAGCAAAATGCAAATAACACATAAGCAGCCTTGGAAGCATCCTGCAATCGCTCTGACTGCTTTGCCAACATGCCAGAGCAGAACGTGAACAGGTAAAAAACCCACCAGTTGAAGGAAAACCCCTGTATTTACAGAGCAGCCTCATTTCGTGTTGGAGCAGATGTCGTGCTGGGGATTTTTATGCTATTGGCTCTGAATACATTTCAGTACCTGCAATTCTGTAGATGTCAGATTTCTGGACCCAACTTTGGAATGGGCATGCACCATTTCTACAAAGGCCGTGTGGAAATTTGACAGTGAAAACTGAGTGTATAGCTCTGCTTCCATCCTCTGTGGGTACTTAACATAGGCATTTGTGAAAACTGGTTCCTAACAAAACTCAGTATTTACATTAAATCAAATTCTGTAATGATTTTTTTGTAATTAATGCATACTATCGTATCTAATGATATACTATATATTAATTATATAAGATCACCTATATAGCATAATTTAGAAATACTATGTGTAATTTTATCTAATTATAATGCACAGTTTGTCTGCATATCAACTGGAAAGTTGGTCATAAAATGTGTATTTTTATTATGATTATATTGTATGTATATTAAAAATATATCTAACATAATGTATAATTATATACTATATAT